AAAAAGCACTTATGTTTTCAAAATATCAATTAATGCCTAAAAAATATATAATAATTATAATCGTTGAGAGAAAAGGACTGAAAGGAGTGATAAGTATCGGGAAATGCATGAAAGAGTCGGCAGATGTCTTCGGGAAGGCTTGAAGTAGTCGTAGTAGAAGTAGTTGTAGTGGCGGTCATACGGGAGATAATGAATGGCCAATAGTTATGTGAGCAACAAATTTACTGATAATTATTTTCAATAATTAAATTTAATTAACGATTTCGATGAGAGTTAGAGAAAGAAAAACATTTTTGTTTAGTTGTCTTAAATTCAAAACAATTTGTTTCAATTCCCGCGAGAAATGTGTGTATTTTTATGTCACATATATTTTCAACGGCTGTCCATAAGAGATATGAGAGAGAAGTTCCAGAAGAAGACAATTAAATCAAAGACAAGAATTATCGACACCAGAGAATCCTTTGGCCGACGGGAGTAAAAAACACACACAAAACCTCTGCAGACAATCGTCGAGATATTACGGTATTAGATATTGTGTTAATTATTATATAATCAATAAGTCTTATGGCATATAATTTACGGTCAAAACAACAATTAACAACATTTTATTGATACCTAAAATGCTTGTGTGACCACTGAGTGGGTTGACTGGTCTACCGAACCAATCACTTCGCAAAACAATACAATTAAATTCAATTGACAATCAATAGACAGGTATTGATTCCTGAATTGTGCCATTGTTTTGGGCGCTATTTCTTAGAAATTCTGTCACAGAATATATGATAACAATAGTATTGTTTTGTTATTTTTGAAACATCTCTCGATTCTGTGTTTAGTTTGTTTTGTGTGTGTTTTTTCTCACATGTCTTTCCTATATATTTATATATATTTGTTTCGTTTACTCCTATTATATAATCATTTCATTTTATAAATATGTTATTAATTAATTAATTTATATATAATTATACTAATCATTCATAAAAACATAAAGTAATGGAAAACTGATAGGTTTTTTCGGAAATTTGTTTTTTGTTTGTCATTAAAAAAAGTCTTAAATTAAAATTAAATTAAATTAATCTTAATTAAAATCAATTCAAAAATTCGTTAAAAGTATTGTTTTTTTTTGTAGTGAAGACGACATTAGGAGAGAAGATCTGAAAATGAATAACAAAAAACAATTAGATAATAAGCACAACACTCTAACCGTATATACAGTAAACTCTCGTTATAATAAACTAACATAAGTTCACTCATACATGGGTGAGAGGGCAGGGGTTAGGGGTAAATGGTATGAATGCTTGCCTGTAATGGCTGTTTGTTCTTGACTTTTATGTCCGGCGCCGCCGTTTGTGAAGCCGTTTCCGTTGGCGAACGGGTTATTGGAGTTGAGGTCATCAGTCCTGGTGTTTGGCGTCGAGTATATATATATTTGTTTCGTTTACTCCTATTATATAATCATTTCATTTTATAAATATGTTATTAATTAATTAATTTATATATAATTATACTAATCATTCATAAAAACATAAAGTAATGGAAAACTGATAGTTTTTTCGGAAATTTGTTTTTTGTTTGTCATTTAAAAAAGTTTTAAATTAAAATTAAATTAAATTAATCTTAATTAAAATCAATTCAAAAATTCGTTAAAAGTATTGTTTTTTTGTAGTGAAGACGACATTAGGAGAGAAGATCTGAAAATGGATTGCAAAAAACAATTAGACAATAAGCACAACACTCTAACCGTATATACAGTGAACTCTCGTTATAATAAACTAACATAAGTTCAGTATACATGGGTGAGAGGGCAGGGGTTAGGGGTAAAGGGTATAAATGCTTGCCTGTAATGGCTGTTTGTTCTTGACTTTTATGTCCGGCGCCGCCGTTTGTGAAGCCGTTTCCGTTGGCGAACGGGTTATTGGAGTTGAGGTCATCAGTCCTGGTGTTTGGCGTCGAGTAGTTTATGTGAATTAATTGATCTAACGATGGGTTAGCGGCGGAACCCATTCCTAACAGATCGCCCGAAACACTGCAAACAATACAGACATTCATTAATTACAGTGAAGTGAAGACATTGAACCCAATCATTACCTGAAGCTCTCGATATGATTATTATTATTGATATTGTATTGATGGGAACCGTTGTGCGGCGTCTGACCACCGCTGACACCGCCGTTGGAGCCGTTGTTTTGCCTATTGTTGAGCATAGCTCTGTCCGCGTCGACCACCAGATCGGGAGTGGCGGTCGTTATGATCACTAAATCTTCATTTTTCATCAAATTTTGATGATTTTTGGCCACTTCTCGACTCTTTTCGGGCGTACTGTGATTGGAGTGCTCGTTGACCGGAGGCTCCGGTGTCTCGTTAGGCGAGTGGGCCGGAGGTGTCGACGAATCAACTCGAGGGGCGGTAGGGGTCGGCGGCTTTCGGGTCCGACTCATGATTGCCTCCAATTTCTAACAAAACAAAACACATATTAATAACCACTCATTAAAAGAGCACTGGTATGTGTGGTGTCAGTAGTGGACAGATAGACAGACCTTTTTCCTAGCGATACGCTCGGCCTCATCGCGTTTGAGTCGCTCCTCGAGCTCACGGCGCTGTTGGTCCGCCTCGTGCTTCGCCCGGCGCTCCTTCTCCTCCTTCTCGGATCGGAGCCGTTGCTCTTCGGCCCGACGTTTGGCCTCTTCCTCTTCGCGCAAACGGTTCTCCTCCATAGCCTTCTGGAGGCGTTCCTCTTCGGCGCGGCGTTGAATCTCAATGAGTCTGAGCTGTTCCTCTTCCAGACGCCTCTGTTCCTCCTCTTCCCGGCGCTGTCTCTCCTCCTCTTCGCGTTGCTCTTTGAGCAGTCGTTGCCTCTCCTGTTCGGCCTCCCGTTCCGCCTGCTCTCTGGCCAGACGTCTCTTCTCGGCCATCATCTTCTTGTAGTCCTCTTCGGACACCTCCTTCTTGCCCGACGGCGTCTGCGGCGGTGTATCACATGGAGTGGTGGCGCCGTTAGTGGCCGTCGGGGCGCCAGTAGACACCGCGGCCTCATTTGGCTCAATCGATGGCACGACAGTTGATTCCAAGGAGTTTTGTTTGACAATACCGTCGGAACTGTTATTATTACTATTATTAGGTTTACACTTAGCAAACGATACGCTGTGATCGGCGGTCGGGCTGTCCGGTTGAGGCGGTGTCTGCGGCGGCACTGGACTGTCCACCGATTTGTTGGCTTTGCGGGCCATCGCCGCCGCCTTCACGTGCGCCGGCTTTCGCGGCGGTGTCGGCTTAGGGGCGCCTCCGGTGGTCGCCATATGGTGTTCGTAGGAATCGGGCGAAATCAGTGACATCGGTCGGGGCTGACCGCCGGCGCTTCGCGTGCGGTTCGGCCGCATGTGAACCGCCGCCGATGTGGGCGTCGTTTGCGGCGCCTGTTTGTCGTGGGATCGGCCGCCGCGTGCGCTAAACGGTGTCCTGTCGTGCGTCGAGTCCTGTCTGGGCTCCACTTTGTCCTCCACTTTCATCTTCACGGCATACGGACTGCCAATACTGAGCGGTCGTGGCTTTCGCGGGACAGTCGGCTTCGCGCGGCGTTTCACAGTTTCCGACGGCGGAGGCATTACGTCCGGCGAACCTGAGGGCGAAGTAATGGCCCGAGAGGTCGGTGAGAGTGTCTCACTTGAGTGGTTAACTAGAGGTTAGTAGTAATGGATCGGGAAATACGGGGTTAGGGATTGAGATATAGATACGGATTAGTATATAGATTAAGATATTGTATAAACACAACACATATCGTAAACCATAAGTGAAATTAAGTGCAAAACTCATTTGAATTGTAAAGAAATAAATCAATCAATAAACCAATAGTATTAAGAAGTATTGGACAATAGGTAATAGTGATAGATAATAGGGGTATAGATATAATAGGTATAGGGGTTCGGGTGTGTGGGCATAGGGTATGGACAGGGAGTTACAAAAGTAGGTGCGATTAGTTGTGCGCTTTTGCCACCACCAGAGCTCAGACAATGTGACTATTAACTAATGGTTTTTATCGGTGTTTGTCGTTATGTTTAATGTGTTTTTAAAGCCCTAATATATTTAATCGTTTTACTAATAATTTTTATTATTATTTGAGTGGCATTTAATTGTGATTTAAGTTTTGTAAATCCGATTAATAATGATTTAAAAACACTTTTTTGTTTTGTTAAGACTATAAAATGCTAATCGAAATGATTTTAATGATTATTTTAATCGATAGGATATGTAGTGTTTGAAAATCAATTAACTAAATATAGTATATGTTTTAAGCGAGTTAATCCCTTATATGTATAATAAATGGTTGTGTTTTATTCACTCTACTACCTGTCCTCTAAACTACCAGCGCATCCATCAGTGTTAGCACATCCATCGGTGACCAGACATTTGCCACTGAAATAATAATTGACTTTTAAAACGAGTTATAATTTAGTATTTTATGTTTTAATGCAAATATAATTATAGACGAAATGATTTACTTGCGAAGAGACCTCTCTATTATTATCACAGCATTTGTTAATACCATATATTAAACACGTTTTTTAGCCGACAATTAACCTGAAAATTATTGACAGATTTNTATATTAAACACGTTTTTTAGCCGACAATTAACCTGAAAATTATTGACAGATTTAGCAGAGGTTTAGATGTAATTAAAGTGCCGTTTAATCCCTAAATGTATGTTATTTTTAACCATTTTTATAAACAATTTTCTCATCTCACCTCGTTCAATGTTAAGCTCTAGTTTATTTTAATTGCATTCAATAATTTAATTTTACATTAAATATAGTATTTTTATGAATATTAAGGTTATTAACAGATATAATAATAATTTATAAGTCATTAGTTTTTTGTTGGCGTTAATGACTTTATTCACTATAATATTTGCCTTAATTTGTATGCAGTTTATTGATTGCAAGTGATAATGATTTATCCCAATCGATGTCCCCTCTCATTACACCCATAGCACAGGTGTTGTGCCCACAGCTCCGGGTCCTTTTGCCCCAACCATTGCCTATGGTTTATATGTGTATATGTTTTGCTGTTAATTGTCACAACTTTTAATTCCCTAAACACATAATTAACTAATGTTTTTGTGCTTTTTATTTGCTTATTATATGTAAAGTGTTTTAGTAATTATACGGTTAATACACGGTATCATTAATACCATGTTTTAAAAAAATAACTAATGGATTGTTTTTATTTGTTTTTATCCCTAATTACCGATCGGGTGGTCACACAAGCAGACGCTGATATAATGTCGCAATCGCTGGTCTCATTGCAAGCCCAGGCGATGGCCGCCCGCGGACGCGTCCACCACACGGAACTGACGCCAGCGCTGCCCCGCGAGAGGATATTTGCCTCTTCCACGGGCCGTATCAGTCGGGACGCCGCCAACCGGTCGATGGCCTCGTCGATGATCGACACGCCGGTCCGGTCGACCGGTCCTAAACGGGCCGTCAGTATGACCCGATTGGACCAATTGGCTCAGCCCAGGCGCCGATATCTGGACGACTCGCTGAAGTCGAATAATTCGCTAACCAGTGGTAATAATAAGACTAACAGTACTCTAACCGTTTGTATGTCCGCCAAAAGCATGTCTAACCTGACCGCCACCTCCACTAATAATATCAATAATAATGGTAATAATAATTATCACTATAAGCGCCGCCATCCCAGCGCTTCCTCCTCTACTACCACTCTAACCGGTCCTTCGGTGCGGTCGTCGCCGCTAAGAAAGGATCGGTTCAAAAGCATGACTCAGTTGACCATCACTACCAATAAGACCAGTCCCGGTGATAGTAAGCACTCCTCCCCTCTAACTAAACAAAGCAAAGAGTTGTCCAAAAGTATGGTTCAGTTGTCGTCGAGCCGTCCGCCACCGCCGCCGCCGACATCAGCGCCGGTCCCCCGACAGACGCGGGCCTCGCGGCTCAGGTCGCAGACACAGGCCGTGCACCGATCCGGCTCTTCGTTGGCGCTCAACACTGTCGCTGATTGTAAGTACAGGCGCTCTCTCGCGAGCTCTGAGATATACACACAATATAAGACACAGTCACTGGTTCTCTGACCACAACAATGACTACAACACATGCGATCTGTCTTTTACTCGGACCCGATCTGTCGGTCTGTCTCTTCAATCCATTGTCTGAGCTCTGGTGGTGGCAAAAGCGCACAACTAATCGCACCTACTTTTGTAACTCCCTGTCCATACCCTATGCCCACACACCCGAACCCCTATACCTATTATATCTATACCCCTATTATCT